AAATACTACAATTAATGGAAAATAAAATAAGGGCTAGGTTTTCATATAGCTTATGCCATTTGGCTTTTCTTTTTCAATATTAAAAAAGCACCTGAACCTTGAATTTCTCATCTGGCAGAATCAGCTTAGCAGAGCTTTATTAGAAGAGGACTAAAATATTTTTTTTCATTAAGTTGAGGGAGTACTGTTTTATGAAACCCTTGTCATTTATTTTAGAGGACAGATCTTTCTATAAGTCTAAGTTTCTTGGAATTCATCACCCTATTACGGGAATCTAAAATGAAGACAAATTCAAGTATTTTTAGCTTCAACAACAGAACAAAATAAGAGAATGGAATTAACAGTAACATCTCATGGCCTGTTTTCACTATCTTTATGCTATCTCAGAATATGTAATTCATGATGGTTTACTTTTCAAAACCGCAGATTTACAGAATGAACATTGAATGACTAAATGATGTTTTAATTTACCATTATTTGCCTGGAAAATATTAATCATCTAAATACCCACATGCAGGCCCAAGAACTCAATGTATATGTGTTATTGATAAATGCATCTTACACATTTAATTTAAGGTACATTTAGTATATATAATTCTACCTCTCGTACTTTAAAAACCAGGTCCCTGGGTAGGAGATATTTTTTTTAGTGTTAAAATTGTTGAAAGCATTAAAACAAATTAAGATGAAAGACTGACAGCCACATTTACATAGTAGGTAAACTAAACTTATCTAGCCAAGACAAATAAAAGATCTTGGCATTGTGTCATGGAACCTTTATGATATCACTGTGGTTAAGAGCTTAAAATAGAGAGAGAAAGGGAACAGACAGCCAAAACATTCCTTAATGAAGCATATTCAGGAGAGCGCTATATTTCCCATAAAAGCTGAGCCCTTTTCCATAGTTCTGTTCTGAAATGTGTTGCTCTGCAAGGATCTTTTTAAGCTGAGTTACTCAGTTCTCACTGGGTTTCTCTGTTTTTCACAAGGGAGTGAAGATGTGCAGAAAGTAAACTGCTAGAATTTTGTTTCTAGACTATATAAATAAGGGGTCAGGTGACATTTACACTTCACAAATTAAGCCAGCCCAACTATTTGCCAGGATTCCTTTAAACAATGTCTCCTAATCTAACCTGAAAGCTCCCCAGATAAACTCCTTACACTTTAGCTGCCTGCATATAGACAGAAATGCCTATTTAAATAAGAGATGCAATTTCTCCCACTGAGAGGTCTAGGCAGGCAATTCTAGGTTTCTACAGGAGGTGCAGAGTTCCTGCTCCTAAGTCTGTTTCATGGTTGTTGTTTTTTTCACCAGAAATACTGTAGAGTAAAATGTGTCCCTAGAAGCAGGGTGTGGAACATCTGTGCTGGCCCCTTTGATCTTTCTGCAGTGTCCCTTGGGCTAGCCTGAGGGGCTCACTCATCTGCTTTATTTTAGATTCTTTGGTCTTACCGACCTTATACGGTTCCTTTTAAAAAAGAGTAGCAAATATTACTTATAGGAATATATCACTGTCTGTTGTTCAGGGAACTGTTTGGAAATAGAAGCTTTTTCTTTCTGACTCAGAGCTTACTACTCTCTGTTTCAAGCAGCAATGCAAAAAAGAGAGAGAGATCACCAGTGCATGCCAATCTTCAGAAGCGGAAGAGGCAGACTGAACCCTGAGCAAATGTAAATACCTGCCTGCCTTAAGCTATCTGCATGGCTGTCTGGAGCTACCAGTAGAGTATATGGTGTAGGGTACATAAACTGGACTTCCTCTCTTCAAGTTTTGGAGCACCATCTTTTCTCTAGTCATCATGAAGGGAATTGAAGAGCATGTTTCAGATAAATGGGTTGTCCTTTGGGACAAGACACCTAGCATTTCAGTAAAGTAGCATCCGAATTAGACACGCTGGATTGCAGCCTTTGCTAAATGAAGCAATCCACAGGGCTGGTGAATTAGCTCTGCTCACAGTATACTCCTGGGTTTGCTAGTGATGAACTATACACATGCTTGATGTTTAACAGACATGTTGCTTCGTATTAAATCTGAGACATATGGCAGCCATTACTGAAAGAAAGCAACACATTTTTTCACTGTCAGCAACTTTGATGCTGAAACAGAACAACAGCTCTTGCAGCACTCCCAGTTGTCCATGCCTTCTCCCAATGGGCCTTTCTAGTCTTTTTAGCCCTTCTATTCTTTCTTAAGCTTGCAGGCTCTTCTAGTCTCAAAGATGTACATCACTCTGCTCACGAGATGTTACCACTGTGGCTGTTGGTGCTCTCCAAGAAATCCTTGAGACTTCTTCTCACTTGAGACATCTTCCTCAAACTAGAATACTCCCAGCAGTATTTTTTAAAAGGTGTCCAATTCACAATTAATAGATAAATAGGTCTCGCATTCACAGAGTGGGCATTCTTAGTATTATTACTGTAATAATTTTTACACTTCCTTTTATTGTCATGCCAATATCTTGCATATTGTTACTTTTGGGGAGATCTCAGGAGCAGTCTGTGTTTCACAAAGTGAAATCAAATAGTTTACAAGTTAAAAATTACCTCATTAACACAAAATTCTTAGCCCCCTCTTTCTGAAAATAAGTCTCTGGAAAGTGTCTCAGGTTGGATAATCAGAACAAAAAGTCTCCCAAACCATTAGTCATTTTTGAAAATCTTGGCCACGATCTTTTATTAGCCTGTAAAACTTTATCACCATATATTGCACTCTTTAAATAGTAAATAGTAACACCAGATGATGGAGGACTGAACAAAACAAGTGCATGATGGAGAATATATGTGTAATCTTGAAGGTTTTGTGGAAAGCAGGCCTTTCTGCAAAGTCTACTTAAGTACCCAAGCAATCACTTGTTCCTGCAGAGATCTTTCCAAAATTTTTCAGTGCCTGTGAGAATACAGATTACAGTCATCAGACACTTTCCTTCTGATTTTGAGGACATTTATTGTCATTTTTTTCTGCTCTTTGTTTTCATCAGAAAAAATGGAAATTCATGTTATTGAGAAAGTCTTAGCAAATACTCTTGCTGTTTTGTTCTCCAGGTGCAGAACTGCTACTTTGAATGGGATGGCAATGGAAGCGTTTGTAACGATCAAATACCTGGCCTCCAAATCCTCAAAGGGCAGACTGTGACATGCCTCTCCCTTGCTGAGCAGTAGTTGATACAAATAGTCCCACTGCCTGTCACAAGGTAACCACCGAGGCCCTCTGCCAGTGACTTGTGTGATATCATAATGAACATCTGTACATGATTAGCAGGTTAAAGGGTAAATTCAGACCCCCATGAAACATCAGCTAAATCAATCTTTCTCTCTGTTAAAAGTGCAACATCTGGCAACTTGCACTTGAGTCTGTCACAACGGATATCTGTCACCAGGACTCACTTTTTTAAATCCTTCAGTATAACATTCATGAAGGCCTAAGGTCGTTCTTTAATGGTACACAGACCTCAGTGTCTGCATATTCTCTCTACACACTCTGTGAAGCTTCAACACAAATGCAAGCCAGTTTTACATTGCGCTCTTTGGCTTTTACAAGAATCATAGATTCTCGCACTGCTCATGGTGAAGCCTCCTTAAATCACTCACAGCAGAACACACAACTACTTTAACCTTCATACAGATGTGCCCCTGCATGTCCCCACCTCTCTTCTGTGGACTCCAGCTGACAAGGCTCCTTGTCATTAATAGGTGGTACCACGTCTGTTTTGAGAGCTCAAAGGAAACGCTTTAAGGCCTAGGTGTTTAAAGTAAGAGACACTCGTAATGGAAAGGTTGATACACTGCATCTAATTTTTGTGCTTATAATTAAATCATCTGCTTAAAGCAAGAACTTTTATTTTTAGGCATAGATGCAAATTAATTTTTCCTAATTTAAACTTCTGAACTATTCAGCTTGGTATGCATGAAGGAATCAAATTTAAGCTTGGCTTATAAGAAAGCTCTAACAGTCTCTAAGAGATGTTGAAGTGTCTGGAGTTCTGACAGAGTGAACCACTTAAGCACTTATTTTATTTTTAAGCACATACTTAAGCCATGTCAAAATTACTAGTAATGATGTATTTTTTCCTAAACAACCCCCCATATATTATGAAAAAAAAAAAATTATAACATGTTTAACATTAGCCTTGCTGAAATCAGTGGAAGCTGAGCATGCACTTAACGGTTGCTTTCCTGTTTCAGATTTCTTATCTTTTTGTCTACTTTAAACATCTTTTCAGACTTTCTTAGTTTAGGAAAAAAAGTTTTAAACATTATGAATTAAGTTGTTGGATGTTTTATTGCTAAAATAAATTAGAGAAAACTGAATTAAAATGATTATATAAATAATTTTTAAAAATATTATAAACTCATAAAAGGTACCAGGATATATTTTATGTTTTCAGTATTTTCATTAGCTTTTCCCTTAAAATACTTATGCAATTTTTCTGGTTTTAAACGTGGCTAGTTTTCCTGATATTGTTACTTTAAGGTTGGACTAAATAAGAAAACAAAAGTCTTCCAAAATACTTAATGTGAGAAATATGTGTCTATGTCTTGGATAGCAAGTTAGCTGGAAAGAGTTTACTTCAGATCAATGATAAAACAAGATAATTAATTGGTGCCTTGATAATTAAAGCCAGACCTCACTGCAGGAGGCACTGGAGAGTATGATAACTTCGTAGAAATATATGTAAATTTCTCTCTGAACAAAAAGGAGAAGGTATGGTTTAATCTTTAAATAAATGAAAATGCATTATTAAAAAATTCTTGACAAATGCTTTTGCTATCTTTGCTATCTCCTAATCAAGAATTATGTCTTTAAATGGCATGGCAGCATCTGCATTTGATGAAAATCAAATAAAATATTTCCGTAGAAACAGATGGCACTGTTTTTAATTCTTTGTGGCCAGTTCAGGTATTATGAGAATGAATTATGATGTAAGTGAGCTTTGCATGCAAAGTATCTTCTGACAAAAAAATTTTGAAAAAAGGTACATTTTGTGTAACCTGTGTCATCTAGACCAGTTCCTCTCATCTGCTAAAAAGTAAAAATCAAATGCCTTCAGCTCTCTGGCTACTTGATATTAAAGTCAGGATTTCCTGTATTTTCCTGCCTAGGTGCCTTAGTTATTTTAGGGGTTAAAAGCTGTAGCCACTGATGCGTATATATTAGGCTGTATTCATAGAACACGGCTTGTAGCCTGACTCAAGCTATTACAGTCTAACAACAGTGACCAATAGAAAGAGAAGAAGATCCAAGAAAGCTGAGGTAAGTCCAAACTCTGAAGCAATGTCAAATTAGGAACAATAGCTAATAAGGTGTGTATGGTAATACATCTGAGAATACTACCATGTACTTCAAGTTTTGTATGCTATTAATTCTTAGGAGAACAGGAAGCAAACACAGTGGTTAGCAGCCAAAAGCTGTGAATTTACAGTGATTTCTAGCTGGCTTCAGATAGCTCCAGGAATTTGACTAACAAGGTAAATTACTTTATATTTCTTTCTTAAAATGTTATTAAGGTTATAAATATTTACACAGTTAGAAAGTGCCATTTCACTGTGTAGATTAGAGATGTTATTCTTTATTCTGTTATTTGTCCTTTTTTGGAATGCTTCCAGATAGCAGTTTCTGAGGCTGGAAGATCTGTAGGATACTGCACATGTTACTTCTAATAACAATGTTGAAAACTATTAAATGACTGCATAACATATACAGCAACTTAACTGAGCTCTTAACCTTACTGGTGCACTAACCCTGTGAGATAATTTACTTTTTATTTAAATATTTGAATATTAAATTCAATATTTTTATTTCAATATTTTGCCAAAACTAGCCTCCTAATTTTGACCAGAAATTTCAGCTATCAGTCTCTTGCCTCTGCATTACAAATGCTTGCTAATTTTCATCAGAAAACAAGCAAGTGATAACAGGGTTTGTGAAGCACTGCTTTTTGTGCTACACAAATATTTCTTTTTGGACTAAATTGTCAGTGGTGATTTTGTTCACTGTTTTATGGTAGAAGAGGCTAAACAAAGCAAATAATTAAGTAGGCAAAATAGATGCAAGATGCATGAGTGTATATGATATAATTTGATTAGGACTTACTGTTTTTGTCATTTAGATCAGGCATTTGTTTTGGCTGCTTGCTTTCGAGAAGGAAATTCATATCTTTGGATATGAGAGAGTGAATGAAGGAGGGGAGTGGATTACTCAAACGTATTCCCTTCAAGGTTTTTAAGAACATGCCCAACAAACAGCTGTTAAAACACTCTTTGATCTTTCACTTTTATGTGTTGAGAAAAGACCCTGGATAATCTGATCCAGATGCCATTATAAATTAAGAGAGAGGAAAAACAGAAAAGAGGGTATGATTAATTTTAAAAGGAGGAATGTTGAGTACAATAGTATTTATATCATCATGGTATTGATAGCTTTACTGAAGATGGTACATTATATAATCTAGTTTATAGCTCTGTACAGGAAAATTTAAATAAATTTATGAGAAGCACAGATTTAATGTCAGAAAACTGATCTGTGTTTTCATGTTCTTTGAAATGATTCCTGCATGAACATCAGTTAAACTGGTCTTTAAACTGCTAAATGTGGAGACTAAGTTGAATCAGGAAAGTGTTGTTCAACTTATAGCACTGAATTGTTTATACCTTTTACATGACATAGATAATATCACAGAAGACAGAATTTTGCTGCTCATAAAGGAAATATTATTTTCTATGCAATAATGCTTGGTTAATCTAGTATGCTGTTAGAGAGTTCTGTTGAGAGCGAGCTAATTGTTTTTCTCCCATTCCAAGGCAGAAAATGAGTCTAAACATCTGTACAAGCCTTTTGCTCTTATTCTTCATCAATTCTGTGTGGACTCGAACCGTGAGACAAGTTTATGATGAGATGGATCCTGAACATTGGTCTCACTACACTTCTGAGTGTCCACGAGAATGCTTTTGTCCTCCTAGTTTCCCCAATGCATTATACTGTGATAACAAAGGACTTAAAGAAATACCTGCAATCCCAGCAAGAATTTGGTACCTTTATCTTCAAAACAATCTAATTGAAACCATTTCAGAGAAGCCTTTTGTGAATGCCACTCATCTGAGGTGGATAAATCTGAACAAGAATAAGATCACCAACGCTGGAATTGAGAGTGGTGCGCTGAGCAAGTTGAAAAGGCTGCTTTACTTATTCCTTGAAGATAACGAATTGGAAGAGGTGCCTGCCCCATTACCAGTGGGCCTGGAACAGCTCAGATTGGCTAGAAACAAAATCTCCAGAATCCCAGAAGGAGTCTTCAGCAACTTGGAAAACCTTACCATGTTAGATCTGCACCAGAACAGTTTGTTGGACAGCGCTCTGCAAAGTGACACCTTCCAAGGACTCAACAATCTTATGCAACTCAACATAGCAAAAAATTCACTTAAGAAAATGCCTTTAAGCATTCCAGCTAACACACTGCAGCTGTTTTTGGACAACAACTCCATTGAGGTGATACCAGAAAACTACTTCAGTGCAATACCCAAAGTGACTTTCCTTAGGCTGAACTACAATAAATTATCTGATGATGGCATTCCCCCAAATGGGTTTAATGTTTCATCTATTCTAGATCTACAGTTGTCTCACAACCAGCTCACTAAAATTCCACCGATCAATGCTCATCTTGAGCACCTTCACCTTGATCACAACAGAATCAAAAGTAAGTGTTTATTGTCAGGGTGGGATCCTAACAAGACAATTATTTTAAAATATCTACTTAAGTACAAAAAATGCGCTTGGAAAGAAAGAGATTAAAAATGTGCTGTAGGTTATAGGGACGTGAGCAAGAGGACCTCCCACTGGCCAGTTTTCAAGTCAGGTCTAAACTATGACAATCAAATATGTGCGTGGAAGTATAACCACATGTGAAAAATGTTCATATGCAAACAGAAATAACACTTTGCAAGAAGATCAGAAATATGAGTGGACTAAGGAGAATTTGTGCATTCACAGTTCACTATATACATCCCAGCAACCATTTTACAGGAACAAATTAATTTTCTCACATAAAGGCTAGGAGTGAATAAGCAAGAAACAGCAATAAAAAAGTGAGTGCAACAAGTTAGGATATTCAACCTACATCTGTATGGCTGTTAGATTTTCAAAGTTCCTGGGCACCTTGGAGAATTCATTAAACTGACAGAATTGGTGTATGCTCAGTACCTTTGATTATCTCTCTGCCCACCTAAATTGTGTTGTAGAAGCTTAAGGTGACGTACCCTTAAAATAAAATGTTGGCTGTAGTGAACACAAACTATTTAAAATATTACTAACTAGAATGTGGATATTGAATATTTCGGACTTGAATATCCTTCCCATCTTTTGTTTATTGTGCAGAAAATGCTGACACTTGGGTTTAGTTTTTATGAAAAATCTTTTCACTGACTTTACAGAACCTTGTCCTTAGTAAGGTTTGTCTCACTAAATGTCTTCTAACATTTTCTATTTTTAATAAGTGAGACAAGGTTTTCTACCACAGCAACAGAAGCCTGTTGTCAGGTCACAGTTCTGCTTCCAACACTGCTTCCAGATTCATTCAGGTACAGCAGGGATGTGGTGCTTAGGGACACTGGATACAGTATCTGCCTATTAAATCCTACAGACCTTAAATCTTTTGTTTTATGCCAAAAACCAAAATCAAAGTGATGACTTTCTATTTATCACTGCACAGAAGGCAACCAAGTCTCTACATTTGTCTTCCTGTCGTGGTGATTTAGTTGAATAAATGGTTCCTTATTCCTGTTTTGTGTCACTGTAGTTCACAAATATACTAAAAATAATGGTTTGGCTTCTGTATGAAACAAGGACATATCGAAGGAAGGCACCTATTAATAATTTAGGTTAATTTACTGCATTTTGAAAAAAATATATGTATGAAACCTTGGAAACAAAAATCAGTTTTGTACAACTGGCACATTTAAGTGGCCTGTGAGAAGTCTAACTGGAGTTAGGGCTTATGCTATATGTTGTTACTGAACATATTTTATTGTTGCCTGGTTGCAAAGGGATTTATTTTAATTGCTTCACTGCAGGGCCTCAGGTGCAGACTTTATCTCCTGTCACTTTAAATGGACACTAAATTGAAATCAATGGAATGTAACCTGTCCAGTTTAAGAAGTGTTTTGTGTCTAGGTAGTATTTAAGGAGCTGTTAAATTATCCTCCTTTCCTAAATGAGTTTTAAAAACGTTGAAACCATGAAAATCAACCTGTGAGTGTAATATGTGCAAATTCAAGTCCTATTTTCCAAAGACACATAGGTACCCATGAGCCTAAATCACAATAGTTTTCCACAAGCCTTATATTCCTTAATGCCTTTACCACTTTTCAAATTCATTACTAACTTGAGCACAATGTTGCTTTTAATCTCAAAAAAAAGTTTTTATTCTTAGTAACTATGCATAAAGTAGTCAAAAAATATTTAAAAAGTCAACGTGACATCTTAAACTAAACACCAATATTATGTAAGACACATTCTACCACATACCATAATTGTTCAAGAGGTAAGGGATAATGGCAGTCTTCATGAGACACTGCTCTGATAGATGATATCTCAAAAGACCTTTAGGATCACAAACAAAGAATGTATTTCTATCAGGCAGTATTAGTAAGATGTGACATTAATTCTGTAAATTGTTTTTGTCTTCTTAAACCCAGGAAGCTGACACTCGGTCATTACTTTAAGATAACAAATGTAAAAGATTTGAAAGAAAAATAACTGTAAAAGCCTGGATCTGGTTTCTCCAAAAAAAGAGTCCTCCTGGTAGTTTATTTTCACATGAGCAGTACAAACCCTTTTTATAATATTAATTCTCAGATACCTCTGCACACCTGCCAATTGCTGCTTTATTTTCTCTTGGTGGTTCATAGTTACACTGCTGGCATTGCAAGAGCTCAGATGTCAAAACTTCTATGCAAATGCTATTTGCCTACTTTTTATTGTATGTTATTGCATGGCATCAGTTCTTCGAGTTATTCCAGGGCTTTATTAATCCAGAGACCATTTATGAAGATATAAGGCAATATCCTGAAGCCCAGTGAAGTCAATGTTAGTCATTGGTCTCAGTGGAACCAGGATTTCACCTGTGGTCCCTTTTTCAAGGTTATCAATGAGCAGAGGAAAAAAACTACGTGAAAGCTGGAAGCGAAATCAACATAAACCCAAAACTGATTATGGCTACAACAGATATGATCCACATTTGTTCCACGGCATTTTAAAACACACATATTTACATATTTATGTATGAGATAATAAATGCAAGGCCCTGAGCAGATGTCAAATGATGGAAAAGGGACCATTAGGGGAAGAAAATGAGGTAAAGGCCTGAAATGACGATGTAGCAAGTGAGCTAGAGTAAGCAGGTGGTATTACAGTGCTATCAAAGGAGTGATAAAAGGTAGTGAACAGCAAGTTCCCTTAGAAGAACACAGGAGATTGGGATAGTTCCTCTGAGCTAATATTATTCCATATGTAGAAAAAGGGAGAAGTCCTTGGACCAGGTAGCAATGCTGGTTTATCAGAATCCATTTGAGGATATTTGGAAAGAAATGATTGAACTTACAGATCCTGACTTACTGACAGACCTCTGTGCTATAGCAGGCACTGGCTTCTTTGCTGGAAGAGCCCAGAAAGGTACAGATTACCAGACTGATCCACGGCTGCTGCACTTAAATATTATGTTGAAAGGAGAAAGGAAGTCCAACTCGAATAGTTGGACTACATTGAGTGCAGATAGAGGTTACAAGAATAGAACAGAAATACCCTCTCAGACATATATGTCAGAACACATCTATCTGCTATATCAACTTATTTTCTGAATGTTTCTAAATTGTTTTATTGGAAAAAAAGTTTTATTGGAAAAGAAACAGGATCATCTGTGGTTCTTCAGCAAATACACAGTATTAACCATCAATGAGATGCGCATTTTTTAATTTTACACTATTTGTAATATTGACAAATGGAAGTCATCTTATTTGAATTAGCCAACCCAGATTTTTGTATCTGGTTTGGGTTAGTCATACAGGCCACCTACTCAGTTAATGGAAAGAGATACACAATTGCAGAGGGAAAATCATCCCACCTTAGGGAGTTGTGAATTACCTTTTGGAAGCATTCATCTCTCTTCAGAGTTTATAAACAGGGTGTAAATGGTTTACTTAGACTGACACCGTCTACATGGATCAGTTTAGGTAGGGTGAATTGTGTAGATGGATTGCCCTGTCCCTCTTGCTTAAGGAAACTTCAGCAATATACCATGAAGAGGATTGCAACAGAATGGGAAATAGAAAGGCTTTTACTCCTCTGATAATTTGGGTAGGATTTACTGTTCATGGGAAGAAAACAATAAAAAACCAAATCACTTGATACCACATACTTGATATCACAGATCATCAAGAGATAAGTTCTTCATAGGTGGCCTGTGGTTAGATAACTGCTGCCTCACTTTACGGTTGGAGTAATTAACTCGGTGAAAACTAGTGCAGAGGGATAGTTTCTAGGTCAGAGAACAGAGATTTAGAACACGCTTGAAGCTTTCTTGTCTCCTAAGAACAGTGGTGCTGACATGAAAAGGCAGGTATTTTCTGCTACATAGTGTTGACCCACTTGTAAAACTTTTAATAACTGCTTTCATAAGGAAAACTCATTCTCAAGCTTCCTACTTTGTAGCTTCACACATAAAAATAGGTTTTAGCTTGTTTCTTCCAAGGATATAAAATGATTTACTAACATCAATCAAATTTCACAATATAGGCAAAGACATCTTGATGTCACGGATATGATAAAAGTTTTAGGCCTTGGCCAACTGGATGTATTTTTCAAGTTTCCATGACAAAGATAAAGTCCATTTCCAAGACGTTGCAAACAAATGGGCAGTTTTTCAAAATAGGGTGGATTTTTTCTTTTTTGGAGGAAAAAAAATCATGGCTTTTTTTTTTTTTTTCATCATAAAATTTAACCAGTTTTGAGGATTGCAATCAATAGATGTGTACATATTATGATTGTTAAATATAAGGGGAGAAAATTTTTGGTAAAAACCTTTTCCTATTTCTGAGCTGTTAAAAAACTGTGCTTGAAAAAAATGTTACATGTTCGCCATTGAACTACTTTTGCAGGCGGTCTGGGGCCAACAAGATCCTCAAGCAGTCAGACCAATCACTAAATATTATCATTTGGTCAAAGGAATTTGATATCTTTGATAAACATATCTTCAGTGTTCTCTAGAATAGGGGCTGAAATAGGGCAGTGGCAACTAAAAAAAAGATGTGAAAAGCATTTTAGCCAAGTTACAGGGTAGAGGTAACTTAGGCGAGGCAATGTGAAAAACTCAATCTTTTCAACTCTTATAAAAATGGGTAATGATTTAAGTCATAGTTTCAAATTTTATCTCAACTGAAAAAAGCTATGTGTGTGATTTATAAAGAATTTTAAGGACTTGTTGGCTTTCAGATTAGGAAGAAAAATATCCCATTACAACTTCTATTCTTGCAATTAAAACAAACTTTACTGAAGAATTTGAGAGAATAGGAAAGTACAGAGATGCTACACAAAAAGCTGATATGATTCAATACTGTTATCATTTTGAATGCAAGATCTTCATTGGGGAATAATATCAGTTAAAATTAACGTACTGTCATTACAGTAAAATGTTCAAAATCCCTCAGCATTAACCTTGTTCCCCTCCCTCCAAGGGCAGAGAGCTATTTCTCAATGAAGTTACCCCATAGTTCTCTGAATTAACTTCCTCTCTGTTCAAGGTAAAATTATGCATCTAGTGACCTTTATTCATAACTGCAGCACATTAAATATGTGATTCACTGATCTAGATTACATTATGTTAAGATGCTTTTTTGCTTGATCAAAAAGGCAGCTAATTCTTAATTCAGCACTTTCCAACTCTGATAGGAGCAGGCGTCTGCCATACAAATAGTAGTGGAAGCCTGTTTTACTCATTTTCTAAAAGAATTTTATCTTCTTGAACCTTTTCCATGGAAATTACCTAACATATTGATCTACATTTTCAGGTGTCAATGGCACTCAAATATGCCCAGTCTCAATTGCTGTAGAAGAAGACTATGGTTTTTATGGCAACATCCCTCGCCTCCGATACCTTCGCCTGGATGGAAATGAAATTCAACCTCCAATCCCTTTGGACATCATGATATGTTTCCGACTACTTCAAGCTGTTGTCATATAAAGACATTTCAGTGTCACTCGTGCTGTGAGAGTGTTAAGAGACAAGTTTTCCTGGAATGAAACTTGTTTTCACTCATAAATCAAAAAGTAACAGCTTTATTTTGACTATTTTTTTCTTTGCTTGCATCTTTTCTACAGTTGAAAAGATTGTTCTTCTTGAACAAGAGAACAAGAAGAGAGTTTGGATAGACATTAAACATGTGCTTAACACTTTACTTAAGAATTCCTAATGCAAATATATTGAAAATCATCTGTGTAAGATCCCAAATATTCCAAAGCAAACTCTTATCTACTCCATCTTTACTGTCAAATGCTACAATGTCTATCTTGTTAACACCACTGTTACAGACAAATTCTATTTCACTATTTTGTTACATAGTAACTAACACAATGACTTGGGGTGCACCCGGCTAAACATACATGCTAGAAAAATCATGAATTATATGTTTACTAGTTGTCAGAACTGCCACTGTTTTTTTAAGATAATGACTAATAAGGAACAACCATTCAACATGTAAACAGCTCTTAAATTGTTCTCGTCCTTTGAAGACTGATACTTCTAAGGCATGAAGTATATGAGGTTCAGAGTCCAAAGCAATATATTCAATATATATTGTTGTATGGGTTCATTCAGTGTATGTTTTCAGAATTGGAATACACCGATCCAACTCAAACCCAGGGACAAGGAAAAATGAGATGAAATCTTGGTCTGTCAAGGTACCAATTTTCTGCTGTTTCATTCATCAGTATTCCATTTCTAGTTTTGACACAGGTTTTTTTTTGTAGCTTTGGGATAGTCATTGAATATTTGGTTCATATTAGTTTCCATAGAGATAAAACCAAGAACAGTAATGATTATATACTTCACAGACTAGATGCTTCACAAAAAATTGAATGGCTAGTTAACGTAATGGTGATAAAGAGAGAATTAAGAAATTAATACATACATCCCCTCCCAGTTATTTACCAAACTAAGCAAATATTTGCATAGGAATTGTATCAGTTTAAGCAAATGCAATCAACTCAGAGCAGTATTTAGCTATCTGCTGACTCTTATACACATACATAATAACACCGGATTTTAGAGAAGTCCAGGTATTTAGAATGCAGCACATTCACAATTCATTAACAAGGGAGATATCAGCAGGCACCTTTTTATGAAATCTGGTTGTTGAACATAATATTGGGATTTCAATACACAACTTGAATATTAGAGTCAACTGTTCACTGGGAGAGTATGAAATTTTATGTCTGATAGCCAGCCCAACAGACTATTCATCAGTTGTATTATTTTAGTCTTCTTGCATTTGTAGATAGAGGTAATTAGTTGCTCTTTGGTAGCTTGCATCTATTCCTAACATTTTAAGACTGGACTTAGTAAGAAGCATTTAAAGGCTATGCAAGTGGTGTGGTTGAAGCATTTTCTTAAAAGTAGATCTTTTAAAGGGCTGAGAACTGCAATTTCTAACATTCCATCTCTTTTTATCTGAAAATCAGGCCCTATTCTGCTCCAGTGCGCTTGTGGAAATAACTTAGAATAGACACCCAGCACAGAAATAACCCATTCAGAAATCCCACCCCAAACCTTTTATTTTTGCAGTTCTTTTTGTGTGATTGCTGAGAAACTCCTGCCCTTCTAGCAAAATATTTTCTGTACCTCTGTGTTCAACCTATATGAAAAAACACAGATTTTAAAAGTCTCTACAATATGTATGCATGTTTACCTATGTTCTTTACTCAATAATAGCATAATAATTTATTTTTTGGAAAAAAGTTATGTGACAATACTACTAATTAAATTATAACAATAATTATGTGCTTTTAGTTGGAGATTAATTTCTACTTTAAAGAAAAGAACAAAGAACAAAAATTGCACACTGCAAAGTGAATGTTCTCAGGCATATATGCGTATTATTAACATTATTTACAGTTCTAATTCATTGTACAACAAAGCATCTTGAAGTTCCAGCCAAAAATTATGACCCTTTTAGGCATTATATACATCTTAAAACAGAAAAGAAAACCTCTTCCCTCAAAAGATGCCAGCTTATATTTAAGAAGGGATGATATGTAAAATCATATTGGGACACTGGAGCATCAAGTATTCAGTGTTCTTGATAGGAGCATTATGTGATGAAATCAGAGACACATAATTTGATGAAGTTACTTTTAGCAGTTATTTTCCACCAGCTGGCCTGATATTAGTGGACTTTTCCAATCCACTCTAGGGTGGAAAGCCTTATAGATTAGTTCTTCAAAGATCAGTACTATTTTATGGAACAATCTTTGGACACATGCAGATTAATACTCAAGACCTGTCCTTGTTAAATGCCAGTTAATCTGAGTGAAGACAAAAATTCATGATACAACTTTGGATGAACTTTTATTGAGCTGAAGAGCTGCTGCTTCCAAGTGCTCTGTGTTCTATACCTTTCATGCCACCCACTGACTACACATCTGGGAACGGTTTAATAAAGAGAAAATCCTCAGTATCCTCACTTAGGCTAATTTATCCCATCTTGATTCCTTCTCCTAGAACCATCCTTATGAAGTAGAGTAAAAAATATTTATGTAACTGTAGTGACCTTCACAAGATAAATCAACCCTGGTTGGGGTTCGAACTGCTTTACTGCATGCATGTCTATATTTGCAACAGTCTTAATGCTCTTAAAGTTTCTGAGCAAGTTGGTGAAATTTCCCCTCCAGTTACAATCGCAGGCCTAAATTACATTATTGTGTGGAACTAAACAATGTAGGCTTTCAGTCACACCCCATTCAATCCATCCATTATGCCAGAAGACTATAAAGGAAAATGTAAAACACAATGTCTTTTTCCCTATGAAGAGGGTCCCTAAAACTATGTAAAAAGGATCACAGTGCTTGAAAGTTTGGTGTAATTCTTCCTAATCCAAGATTGGTCTAAGACTCCCCACTGATATTTCCTGGTTCAGAAAAATTGCAGTCTCTTCCACTGCAAGGAGGAACAGACCTCATAACTGTCCTGTCTGAACCTACAACTACCTTCACAAAGCCAACATTTGTTTCTCTTAATTGTCAGAGCACATCACAAACCATTTTGAATAGAATAACATGTACAGAAACAAAGACATTTACAAGTATGAGAAGCTGAGAACAAAGCAGGTCACCTTAAGCACACTGCAGTTGTGGTCAATCGCTAACCAAACCACAAACACCTAGTGCTTTGCCAGAAGTGCATATTGCATACGAGTTAATTTTGAAATTATGGTCATTAACATAGATGTGGCATCACCTCAGCCCAGGGTACAGACAGTTGCTCTGAAAAAAAAAACATTAAAGCAAAATGAGAGGCTCAAGAACTGTGAAGTACCCAAATGTTTCTGACAGCGTGATTGGAGGCTGGATGCTGGATCTATCAAAAGACTGTATGGTTTTATAACACAGCTGGCTCTGCATAGATGCTGCCAGCATAGCTAAGATTTCAGTCATATGCGTGATTCTCCCTGCTCCATACCCTTCTCTGGAATTTTCTGTATTTTTTCTCAATATGCCAAACAGTTCACTACCACTTTCATGTTGGATAATTTTAATGAAAAACACCACCACAACAATCACCTGCAGAGATGCCAGTGACCACAGCAGCTTGTATGACACTTGAAAGAAGAAACACAAACACTGAGAGGTAAAAATTTGGAAGACAACTGGAAAGCCAATTTACGTGTTTGTAGTTACTAACTCCAACATATATACTGTGTTGCTGAAGGGATTTTCATTCACTCTTGCTGTGCCCAAATGGTTTCCAATCTTTGCCACAAATACTTGTTGTCATTTTTCCTGCCTAGAAAAACTATTTGTTGATATTATATTGCAGCTAGTTTTGTTATCTATCTGGGATCAGACTACTGTAACACCTAAACTGCTGTGTTGGTTGCTGAACAGCCAATATCCCACTTCTGCCATATGTGGCAGAGAATCTTTGACATTGCTGAAGTCAGCAAGGGAACATCATCCTCTTGGCTGAAAGTCTCCTCCATAATTGCATTTTTTTCCCCCCCAGAAATGTTTACCCATTTAAACGTAAAGAGTAGCTCTACAAGGCATCACACTGTGTGTGTGATGATACTTCAGGACTAGTACTAACCACTTCAGGTCAAGCGTATGAAGCAATATGCATCATTTGCATCATGTTCTGCCTTAGCTAATTTACCTCCTTCCCCATTAGGAGAGGTAATGTAGCTTCATAGTCCTGTGCTTGGTTTGTCAGTGTTAGTTTAAAGAAATTTATACTGTAATACATCTAAAGCCCTGCCCAATACAGTTGTTTCTCACCCCCCCTGCACTGTTGCCAGCAGCCTGGGTATTCTTCTTACTGTTTTTGTCTTGGTTTCTGTAGTGTATGCATTAGACCAACCTATCTGCCTATCAGCTTGATTTAGTTTTGTTTCTTCAGTGTTTTTTTAGCTTAAACGTGTATGTGTATGGTGTGCTAATAGCTGTTGTGATTTCATCCATTTCCTGGCAGTTTGGCTGCATCTGGTTTTCTCCAGGGGAGCGCCAGGCCAACTGCCGCACATGTACCGCAGCAGAACACCATGCCCCACCACCCCCAGCATTAACACCTCCTCCTATGCACATGCATGGACCCAGGCTGATGCTGTCATGCAGATAGGGTTTATTTAGCTCTTTTCCAAGGCTTTCCCTCCCTGTCCCCAGTGTCTTTTTTGTAGGAAAATTAGTGAAGAAATTAGAATCACATCTTCCACAAACAAAAACTCTTCCTACTTAGAGTCTTTGGTAATGAAAGCTACATGTAGAATCAACAGCTCGCAGTGAAGCTAGGCTTTTTCAATAAATTATCTATTCCTTAAAATGCTCTACCATGGTCTTTCTGAATTACTAGTAAATTCAGAAAAAATACACAAATAGTTTCAACCACAGGAGAGAAAAAAAATTAAAACAAAGTTCACGCTTCTTATTTAATAATCCTGTTGCTAAGACATCCGTGTAGCAGGATATATTCTTCTCCAGGGAATGAAACCCTGGAATTTGTCTGAAATCGTACTCCTACTACTAGGAAGCCTGTTTCAAGGAGGGTAATCTCCTTGTGATGCTCTGCCTTGTTTCAGGACTTGAAATAATCCCCCAATTCTCTGCTCTGGCAGTGAGGATAGCCTTTATGGTATTATAGGATCTAGGCTCAAATCCTTGTCTGAATCAGAAGCAGAGTGAATTGACGTGTAGATGTTTTTTCTCTGAGGAGGCTGTTTCGAGAGGTTCATTCTGTTTGGTGAATCTTAAGATTTGTTTCTTTTAATGACTGGAACTACTTCAAACAGAAAAGATTGATAGCAACCCTTCACTGCACTGCTTAGCACTGGAATAGGCAGGAGTTACTCTGCTGAAGTTACAACTAAGAGGTCGTCTCTGGGAAAGCTACCTGGCACAGGGTCCCCAAATTCCCTGCCTCTGAATTACTGGCCAGATGGGGAAGTGAAAGCTATTGGTGAAGATTTTCTCTGAAGGTCACGGTCTTTTGGATCTTTTAAAAAGCTAGTCATTTATGTGTTTGTTTTGGTTTGATGTAAGTTCTTTGACATTCAATTTAAAATGCAACATATAAACATGGTGTGTGGTTTCTTTTCCACTTCAATAAGAAAAGAAGATGGAAATATTTAATTCTTAGTCAAGTAAACATAAATATTTTTATAGTGGTCTGACCATCAAACAAACAAACAGAAAAGCTAACTTTCTGTTCTTGAGGCAAGATTTCATGCTTTTATTTTTTTCTCTGTTATTCGTTTTTCACATATGCTTTCTGTCTGGTGTTGCGTAACAGACTTATCAGATATTGAAGAACATTAAGAATGATTTCAGGTGCAATATTATGTGTGCTTCTTATTCTCCTCAAAGCATTAGTAAGACTTGTGTATTTTCCTACTTTTGTGACCTCTGTGTACAGGCCTCCTTTTCTGTGCTGTTTCAACCGCAATTGTTGTCAATGTTTGTGCAAGATGCCTGTGCATGAAACACGGCCTTCCCAGAGATTCAAGGTTTCTGTAGTGCCTGCTTTCCTAACATTTAGAAATCTACTGCCTACCTCCTGAAACTCTTGTGGAGCTTATTCCTGGTGGTTTAGTACTGCATTGATACTGGGATTTTTCCCATTGTTGATACTGTGAAGGATGGAGCAGGATAAGTCCTGTTATTGATGGGCTGCTTCTAACACGGGCCATCTGGGTTGATGGAGGAATGACAGCCTGTGGGCCTTGTGTCTGAGGAGCTGAAGCAGGTGGCCAGCAACTCAGGGTTATGAAGAGGTTGAATTGAGAGGTAGGAAAGGGGTTTAATAGCTAAAGGAAGCCTGTTTTATCACAAACATGTGGAATAGAAAATCATCCACTGCAAGCCAAAAGGAGATGAAGATGTAACTGGGGCAAACTGTCAGACTTACAAGTATATTCAAATACTTGTATAAGTGCGAAACATAGAGAGAGGCAACAATTACCTCTGTCTTGCTGAGGATCAACAATGATGAAAAAAAACCATTTTTAAATTTGTTTCAAGCTTGGAGGATCCTGATATTGGTTGAAGTCCAAAATTCCACCTAATGCATTCTGCTCCGCACATTAGAACCCTATAACAATTCTATCAAATTTTAAAAAAACCTAAATCCTTGGTATATCAGCCATGCTTTCTGTCAGCAGTTATACTGAACTGCTCCCTGAAATATATTTTCTTTTACAGCAGACCTTAACCTTAAATGTGTCAAAAGAAAGCAGGAGACAAGTCCACAACCTCATCTATATCA